GTTTACCCAAAAGGCTCATGGGAACTGTAGCTCTGTGCAGTTAGGAAATTACATAGGGCACCCTTCTTCCAGAGTGGAGATTTCTTCAGCCCCCGAAATGACATTCTAGAGACTATAAAGATGACTAAAGCAATGATGAACAAAGTAAGCCATACAAATGCTGGGGTTAAAGTTATAGGGGAGGAGGAACGTTTTAGAATATTTGAATATATGGTGTTTGCTAATAGTTATAATAACCCTGTCATAAGAAAAATATTGGAGCTGACCTGCTTTTGAAAATACTAGTTGCTTGGCTATCTTTGGCTAAAATATGATTTGAGACACTGAGGCAAGTCACAAAAGCCAGAGCTCCTCATGTACACACTCCTCAGAAAATACTGAAGCCTTTGGATCAGCGTGTCAGCCAGAGAACGAAAAGGTCAACAATGGCTTCCTGCATAAAGTGTCCCTTATCCTGAATGCTAATAATGACGAAATCCAGCTTTGGCAGAATGTGCCAGGAAGGTTTGCTTGTGCCAAGCAGCCTGAGTACACCTGCTTATTATTATGAGACAAACAAACCGGCTCAACCTGCGTAACATTTCCAAAATACGCCCCTTTTTTAACAAACGAAACCACAAAGCTTCTAATTCACTCCCTTGTAATCTCTATTGTAACTCCATCCTTGTTGGCCTACCACTAAGCAGGCTATACCCCCTTCAGTCTATCATGAATGCTGCTGCCAGACTCATCCACCTTACCAACCGTTCAGTGTCTGCCGCCCCTCTCTGCCAATCCCTCCACTGGCTTCCACTCACCCAGAGGATAAAATTCAAAATACTAACAACAACATACAAAGCCATCTACAACTCTGCCCCAACCTACATCACCGACCTCATCTCAAAATATCACCTAAACCGTCCTCTCTGCTCCTCAAGACCTCCTTCTTTCTAGCTCTAATTACCTCCTCCCATGCTCGCCTCCAGGACTTCTCCAGAGTGTCCCCCATCCTCTGAAACCCCTTACTCCATTCTGTCCGCCTATCTCCTATGCTGCCCACCTTTAGGCGATCCTTAAAAACCCATCTCTTCAAAGAAGCCTACCTCATCTCAATATAACTACCTTTTACTTCCTCCAATAACTCAACCCCAAACAATTATTACCTTTTGTATCACTTGCCCCTCCTACTAGGTTGTAAGCTCTCACGAGCAGGGCCCTCCTAACCAGGGACGTGCGGTCAGAGGAGGCAGGTCAGGCAGAGCCTCACCTAGAATTATGGAGGAAAAAGCGGTCAGCTTCCTGTCTGAAGTTGACAGCTGCTGCTGGTGGTGGGCAGGGCTTCGACCGGCAGGGGGCGGGGCTGGGGAATGCCTCACCACGAGCATGAGGTACCGCATGTCACTGCTCCTAACCCTATTGTACTGAAATTGTATTGTATTGTAAATGGTATTGTAACTGTACTGCCTCCTCCATGTTGTAAAGCGCTGAGCAAATTGTTGGCGCTATATAAATCCTGTATAATAATAATAATAATTTGCTTCATATCCCATTATAATCAGTCATCCTTCTCAAAGCATTATGAGCAAAACATGACATTTATCCTGTAACAATAATCCATGTTTTTTCCAGCAAAGATCATTTGTCTAGTCTCCCTTTAAGCACTGGAAAACATTGCAGCCAAAAATATAAAGTATATATTGATAAGGGAAACAATATGCCTCCTCCAGATCCTTTACTGTTAACAATGAAAGACTTTGAAAAGTACTTTTTTAAATCTGAAATGAGACCATAATTTAGTCTCATAATAATCTGAGAAAACTTCCTTTTTTTTCTAAGCATACCATCATAACTTCTGTTTATTTTCTCTAGAAAAGCAGTTTACAACATTAGCCTATATCACACTTAAATTATGCTGATAATGTGTCTATGAATAGGTTGTGGGAACTGGATCTGGGTGATAAGGAAGTGTCATGGGGGAAGAATGGTGTTGTATGAGATGAGATCCCACAGTATATCTTCAAAAAGGATACTTCTAAAATGGTCAGCTCTGCTACTAACAACCCTTCCCCTGAATTATGGCTGATTGTTTGTACTAAATGACTTACCCATACAAAAAATAATAATATTGTTGCTTTTATGATGCCTGCATATGCAGTTGGCCTGAGACAGTAGCAAGAGACATTGCAGCTCCATTGTACTGGAGGAACGGGATACATGCTCTTTGTTCATCTTTTAAATGTATTTGTACAGAGATTTCTAAATGAAACTGTCCAGGATTGGAGAAGGTCTGAGTCATGGCTAAGAGAGTACGCACCCATCTTAGAACTTCCTATGCTGCCAAAGATACCCTACTGGCCTTGCAATGGCGGAACAACCTAATCTTTCACAAGTTTTGTAATGTTCTTATGCAATGAATTCCGCATCCTCAATATACTCAGGCTCCTCTGTGACTAGTGAAATAGGTCATCAGAGCAGGAAGGATGGGCAGTAAGTCAAACCAGGGTCAGCTGATGAGGAACAAGTGTCACCTATTTAGGCAGTTTTATCAGCATGGACAACTCTGAAATAAATAGTTTCATCCCTGACATCTGTACATTAGAAAGAGTACTAATAACAATTCAGTGACGCAAGGAACAACACCAAATCCAGAGTCTGACTTGCTACTGCGTTGTGATGTTGACCCATATTGGTGGAAATAACACATGAGAGAAACAGAAGGACTACAAGGGTTTACATTCCGTATGGAAGAGTAAGTCATGTCATTAAAGTTGCATGTTAAAGGATTTTAGAGAGATGCGGAAAACAAGATAGCTGCAAGTTCAGACTTTTAGAAGTAGCGTAGCATGGGTGTCCATGCTTTTGGAACCTCTCTGTGAGTGCAAAATGGTAGAAATCTGAAGACATTAAAGCTGAACTGAAGATAATAAAAACACCAATTGATGCAGTTTTCCTGTCTGCTCTTCCCCTAAGTGTCACTCCCTCATACAGTTCACCTTTGTAGAAGAACATTTTCTGCTCCACATCAGCAGTACTTGAAGCTTTTTGCATGCAGACAACTGTACACTCTCATGGGTTATGCAGCACCAACATTTGTTTGTTTATGATCACAGGGAGGAGGCAGATCCCATATCAGGCCAGGCACCCAATGGTTGCATGAAAGTCATCTTGAGCAGTACGGTTCAGAAAGGGTCCACATTTTCTTCTTTTAAAAAAAAAATAAAATCATTAAAGCCTATCACCGGGCAAACAAAAAACGTACTCTTGCAGTGGGGCTACCCCAGCATTGCAAAGGTTAAGTGCTCATTTTGTCTAGGGGACACTATTAAAGCTGTTTTACTTACCTGATCCTTGGTTCTGCTGGCTCCTTCAAGGCTGCTAGACCAGTCCCTGCAGCCTCTTCTCCTCTTCACTCAGCTGGTCTATAGACTGCTAAAGTCATCACGTCGTATGCTGTTCCATTGACCTGTGTAAAACATGAGGATGCTGAAGGTCATTCCAAATCCAGAGTGGAGGGGAGAGAGGTGAGCAGTGACCAGCTAGCGAGACTGGATCAACCAACTAAACAGCTTTATTTCAGTTCCCTAGCAAAAAACAAACACAATCCTTGCAGTGCAGGTGTAGACCCTCTGCAAGGTTACGTTTTTGGGGGTTTTTTTGGCCCAGAGGTGGGCTTTAAATGTTTTGACTTTATATCAGCCTCTTGTATTCCCCTGTATAGGCAGCATTCAGACTGAGAGGAGCAATACTTGAGGACAATCAAGGGTCCTGCATCTACATGTGCTGACTATGAACATGGTGAGAGAGCAGAAAGATGACCTCACTAGTCTCTTGTTGCTCCTTCACTGTCAGAAGGGAACCTAGCTGTGTTACTTAAAGTGGACGTTTACTCCCTTTTACTAAAAATCACATCAGTATGCAGTTCTGCATGCTGAAATCAAATCATATTACATTCATTAGTTAAACAAACATGTTTTTTTTCATTTAGTTACAAATAGTGTTCATCTACTTCCTGGTCCAGTTCTGGCACAAATGATGTAAGTGCCAAAGCATTGCATCTTGGGAAGATTACCGCAGCAGAGCATTGCTCTGAGCATGAGATCTCAGGGAAAGGAATTTTTCTACCCTGAGATGATATGTATGGTCACATGTCCTGGTCACATGTGCCAGAGTTCCAAGAAGTAAATGGAGATTTAGTAACCTGTCCTTACTAAACATGGCCACTGTGAGAAGACTGGGAAAGAAAAGAGAAATAAGGTATGCAAAGAATAGGCAGCCTGCGATTATCTAGAAGTATGTGTTTGTAGATTGTCATTACTAAACATTTCTAAAGGTGTATTTGTTGTTATTTTAAAGATATGGGTAGAGGTCCGCTTTAAAGCCCAATTTTACGTTGAGCACCACAGCATTTTTAAAATAAAAAATATAAAATAGGAAATTCAGCTTGAATTTTATCATTATTACCAATTCTGCAGACTTTGCAAATAGATCTACATTTAAGGTCTGGCACCTTGCCAATAGAACAAAGCGGGCAAGTGTTGTAATTTCTAATTATATTGTTTCTACATTGCTACATGTGTTACAGAAGACATGTTTCATAATATTTGAGCTTCCTTAAATTAATTTCTCCTTTGTGGTCTGTACTACCTGGGAAGTAAATTATGTAATGATATTTTGGATCCAAGTTCTTTGATGGGACAGTAAACCTAAATTATAAATTGCATTATATTAAAGAGAGACTGGAAAAGTCCACAATTACACATGGGCCATTTCATTAGCTTCTCAAGTCATTTTACAAAAAATATATATAAGGCAAGACTGTCAGGAGACACATCGATCTGTCTCCTCTGGGAAGCAGAGTGTACATATGATCAGAGTATTTCTGTTAATAGTTGCTCCTGTAAATCACCTGACTGGAGCCAAGAAGACGTCCTGCCCTTATCTATCATGGCCACCAGTGACCGGGCAGTGAGTGACGTCATCATTGTGCTGCCGACTTCTTGTTGGGCGCACACAGACTCACGTGTTTGTTTAGCAGTCTGATCAGAGATGATGGAAGAAGTGGAGGGGCAGACAGTGAAACCGGTCCGGTCTGGAGAGTTGCTGGAAGTTAGTTTTTCACAAGGTGATGACAGCCATCAGTGGCAATAATAAGTAAAAGGCAGTTTAATATTGTATCTCTACACACTAAACATATACAAAGGGAACGTAAAAAGCAGGACAAGCATGTATCGATTTGTCTTCTCACCCCTATCTACCTTTGTTTATTAGTTGCTAGGAAGTACAGCTTGTTATATTACAAACCCTTGTACTACTGTGTTCTAGATGATTAATGCACACAATGTAGGACAAACACTCCTCTGTACAAGCTGTAAAGCAGAACGCTGGGCAAAAATGTTATTAACCCTTGCAGAGGATCTTTCCCCCACCCTGCAAGGGCTCGTTTCTGTCTAGGTTCTTTAAAAAAAATAGTTATACTCACCCAATCCTCTGAGCTGGCTTGCTTTTAGACCAGTCTCTTAGACTGCTGCAGTGAGTCATCACATTCTATACATTGTGTATAGGACATGAGGACACCAAGGGACATACCACTGCTGCAGCGGAGGATGAGACATGCTCCAGGGACCGGAGTAGCAGCCAGCAGGCTCTGCAGTTTGGTTAAGTATAACTGTTTTTTTTGCTTTTTAGACAAAGACAAGCACTTAACCCTTGCAGTGTGGGATTAGCCCAACTGCAAGGGTTAAGAACACATTTTGGTCTGAGTTCTGCTTTAAAGCCTATCTCTGATTTAAAAAAAAAACTACGCTTGCAGTGAGACTACCCCTGCACTGCATGGGTTAAGTGCTCCTTTATGCCTAGGGGACTGTGATAAAGCACTTTTTACTGATCCCCGCTTCCCCAGCAGTCAGTGCTCACCGCTCTGCTCCAGCTGGTGGAACGTACCTCAGTGTCCCCATGTCTAATGAAGGTCTATGGAATCTAGATTAGACATGATGACATCAGCGGCCCTTAAGGTGGCCATACACGCTACAACCATCGCAAGACCTTAGTCTTGCGATGGTTGTACAGGGATTTAAAAAAACGTACGATCTGCCTATCTTGGACAGGCAGATCGCACTCTCGATCATCGCAAGCCCGCCCCCCCCGAGGGGCGGGCTTCCGATGACCGCAATGCTGAACGGGCAGTGTGCGCACACCGGCCCGTTCGGCATTTGTCTTCCGAGCACCGTTCTAACCAGCCGAGAATCGTACGATTCCCGGCTGGTTTTCGAACATGCTGGTTTGACGGAAGACGTGCGACTGTACAGTAGAAACGGTCGCACGTCTCCGTTCACACTGCTCGATTCTCGTACGATCGCGGGATTTCCCGCGATTCTCGTACGAGAATCGAGCAGTGTATGGGCACCTTTAGACTACTGGGGAAAAGGTGACAAGAGGCTGCAGGGACTAGTATAGCCGCCCCGAGGGAGCCAGAAACAGCAGGGATCAGGTACGTAACACAGCTTTTTCCTGTCCCCTAGGTATAAATAAGCACTCAACCCTTGCAATATTTGCAACTTTAAAGCGTATCAATTTTGGGGTATCTTAAGCAGAGTTTGTATAGACTGTAGTCCTGTGTATATTTCACTAAGGTACATCCTTATGATATACATATACATGTCATGGCATTGGCCTGTTAAATGCAACATGTAGCATGTTTTGTCTGAAAAGTTGGGGGTGGGGCTTTCTCCCTTTTCTATCATGTACAAATATAAGGCCTTAAAGTTTATGTAAACTCTAACAATGAACTTCTCTTATTTGTTACATTTTAGTTTGGTAAATATACCAATAAATCCATTTGGTTATATCTTTGTGATAAGTGCAAAAAAAACACCTGTTGATCCTGTGAAAAATCCAGTGTTTGTCCTGTTCATTCTGAAGTGCTACCAGCCCTGCCTATGTTACCTCAGCAATTACAGAATACCTCCCTACTGTGTTATGGAGATGGGGAGCTGTTCTGTAGGCCTGACACTTCCTGTCCTAGCTTAACAATGCTGTTACCCTGTAGATACAGATCAGTGATTGAGTGAAGATCTAAGCAGCAAGGGTAGGTAAGTGTAACACTTAGGGGAAGAGGGGGACATTGAAGAACAACTGTTCTACAGCTACAGTTATTCTTTAAATACTTTTTTCCTTTGCTTACATTCACGTGTCTGTATCAGCCACCAATCTCAGGGTAGAGAGCAAAAACAAGGAAAGCAGAGTTTTCACTAGATATACAGTATGTACTGTTACAGAAAAAATCAAAATCACATAGTATGCAACTCCACTTACCTGTTTGAGTCAATGTCTTCTAAGTCCTGGACTGAACCCTTGATGTTGTCTATACTGCACTATAGATTGGTGCTTACCGCAGACAGCAAATTGTCAATAAAGTATTGTTTACAGTGTCCCGGGCCTATGATGACATATCTGAAAGCACAGGAAAATAAACTATAGTGGTAAGAGGTTTATTTACAAAGGTGCTTATTTGCTCTGGATTTATGAAAAGTACAGTTATCCTTCAACTTGAGTGACAGATGCTTTTCTGTTCACACAAATAGTTTTTTTTTTTTTCCTTGCATAACGTAACCTGTCTTACTTTTATTTTTGCTAAAGGTCTGTACAACAAGTTACTGGTAAACACAAAGAACAGCAAAAATGGATTGTCCTCTCCAATTGTTAGAATGCCACGGAGCAGCAGTAAGTCAGTTTTTGTTTTATTTAAGATAATATTTTACATTGTACATTTTGTTATACTGTTTACAGCCAGAACAATTTCATCTAAATATCAACATCCATTTATTCAGCATGGGCCCCCCTTCCCATCCTAATTTGCTGCTCAAAAATCTGTACACCTGTAGGAGAAAAAGAGATAATTTACGTACTGCCTGTGGCACCTAGGCGAGGGTCTTGATTGCCATCCTTCTAGTGAGATCGTGAGGAATGTCATGTAGCTGAAATATCTTCATGTACCGGGGATTCCCCAGAATCTTGTCAGAAGAATGGTGCCTTCACCCCCTGCAGTATAGAAGCCAGGGTAAGGGTTAGTATATTTAATAACCCCCCCACACACACACACACACGCACGCACACATGGTTTATTGAGTACAGGGTCCTTTTTAACTCGTCTGGGCCAAGGGCTGGTAAAACAGTAAAAAAAGATGCAAGTAGTGGTGATGAAAAGGGACAATGGAATGGATTCAAACCTATATAGAATGATGGAATAAACAGAATATACACAATGGATGCAAACCTATATAGAATGATGGAATAAACAAAAGCTGATTTTGTGTTTTGTTGTCACAGTACTTGACCGAGTCCAGAGCTTCCTGCCTCAGATGGCCTCAGCCAATGAAAAACTCAACAAAAGGCAGGATAAGAGGGGAAATCTTTCCAGTGGGAATTCAGACCACAAAAACAAATGTTTTACAGAGATACTAATCCTTCCCCACTCTCATCAGAAACAAACTATAGGCAGATGGGGTACACACACTTGAAATTCATAACCAGTTATATACATATACAAGTTTTTAATAAGATATGTTCTTGTTAGACAATATTGATTACTTCACTAATATTGAATCTCTGTGTTGCAGGATGTGGCCTTGGTTGAACTGAGCAGTTCTGACTCCAGTGAAGTAGAGGAGGAGAGCAGTTCAGATGAAAGCTCTGACAGTGACCCAGAAGATGAAGCAGTAACAGAACACAATATCAGACTGAGCCAAAAAAGAAAGAAAGCCAAAATAGAAGTCTTAAAATCAAATGTTGAGCTAAATCAGAGTTAATAGGACACTGCAGTGTGTAATACAAAGGACAGTGCATTGTTTTACCAAGGAAAGAGTTACAAAAGAGACCATGTTTGAGGTGAAGAAATGTACAGAAAGTCCTATCTAAGCAAAGGACCAAAGGGTTTCAGATTTACATTTTTCAATATGTACCCTGTTATGCAGAAATTACTTTGTAAAGTGTTATAAATATATTTTTTTCGATGTATGTATCATTTTCAAAATGTAAATACCTGAATGCTTTTATAAAAGTATATATACCCTTATCCACCCAATCTCAATATTTCATTGTTTGGATGCTAATGGCGCATTAAACCACCTCCTGGTTTCTTATGCCTAGGTATGCTGGACGTCTGATGCTATTCCCTTCGGCCTTGTTCACACCAAGCAGAGCAGTTACAAACCGGAGCAAAACTGCATCCAATGTATTCCAATGGTATTTTTAGCTCCAGTTCACATGGCAGCGTGCAGTTCCGGAGCAGGTAAAAAAAACTGCAGCAGGCCCTATTTTACCTGCTCTGGAACGCATGCAAACGCCCTGGAGTCAAATCCCTCTGATTTTTATTGAGCCTGTCCGATGGTCTGTGAATCTGGAATTCTGAGAACTCGGGGAAAGGTTAATTAACTTTTTTAATTTAGTTTAGTTGGTCCCCTAGCTCTCTCCTCCACACTGGGAGGACGGCACAGCAAGCAGTGGGCGGGTGCAATAGCCAGCCTGATTTTGGCTTTTGCAATTTGAAATGGCCAAAAGCAGGCTGGCTATTGCACCAGCCTACTACCTGCTGTATGTACATTCAGCTGCCGTCTGCAGGTTCTTGCCACTGGCAGCTCTCCTTCCCTGGCTGAAGCTATTCAAGCGCCATGTGCTTACAATACAATTATTGCATTTTTTTTTATAAAAGGTTTGAAAAGTCACTTTTGGTTTCAGCCTGATGAATTCTGCTGCGGGAGGTGCGCTGCAGTGCAATTCATTTGGCACCATAATGGCACCTTAAATGCGCATGCCTTCCACAGTGATCGCCTGCACTTGAACACACGGTACCGCAATGCTGTGCGTTCTAGTGCAGTGCGATTGTGCATGCAGTTTTATTTGATGTAAACTTTTTAGGTTTGTAACACTGCGTTTGTGTATTTTATTTTAAGCTAAAGATGGTATTTATTTAATTTTTTTAATAAAAGCTTTAGCAACTCAATGCTTTCATTTGTTGCCTGAAATTGATATTGATGGGGAATGTGCGAAAGCCAAAACATGGCGGCTGCTAGTGTAGACTTGAGTTTTAAGATGTAGGCTATCGAGTTGACATCCTGATCTTGGCTTCACCAACTAGTGAGCCACTAACCATGGAGATGAAGAGTTTAGACTTTACTAAGTACGTGCTTGTTTCAGGTCTGTGACACATTGTGGTGAAGCTAGTGTTGGGATGACAGCCCTGTAAAATTCATGTCTGCAATGGCTGCTCCCATTATTTTATTTGAATAGTTGGGATCTGATGCCAGATTTCACCTCCAGATGATGCTTCCTATTAAAGCATTGGGGTTGGGGGACAGTGTAGTTTAAGAAGTGGTGAGTAGGATGGGTCATTTTAACTCGTGGACTAAGTGCAAACATCTCAGAGCCCCCCCCTTCCCATCCCAAGCTTCTCTCTCCCGATACAATCCCACATCTTGGTTGGAAGAGAAGTAAAGCATCTAAACGAGGCTTGAAGAAAGATGAAGGAAAGAAGGTCACACAACTATTTCTAGGCCAGTTGGTGGAATTTCGACGTATTCTGTAGCAGTATGAAGTTCAGTGGTGTATGTGGGAGCCAAGGTGTAAACCGATATCTGCTCTCACATTATGATACTTATTAGAACATCTGTCACACTTCTATCAATCATCCTCCAGCTCTGAGCACTATGAGGATGTCCACCCACCTTATTTTCAGCCCTGTTGACCTGCAAGCTGAGTTTGCTTTCCTAATCAATTTTTGGTTTCCTTTTTTTTTGGTTTACTTCCACTTTCTGGTTTCTATGCGTCTCTTCCTTTTTACAATTTAGTATTTTCATGCAGCTAAATATGTGTGGGCTGTGCTGTGCTGGAAAATCTCCCTCAATATGTTGCCGGATTGTTTGATCTATAATCAATCAAAGCTAGGCTATTTATACATTGTATTTCTAATCTCATTCAGTGTGTCGTGCCATAATATTCTAGTGCCTGGTCCGTGTGGTTGTGCACCTCTTGGCTAAACTGGATGAGCCATAAACCAGGTATAACTACACATAAACTACATATGAGCCTTGACCCAATGGTGTCCATGAACAAACTAGTCACACATAACTACCCAATGTTAAGCTGAACTCACGTAAAATGTGCAGCCTCTTATATTTTGGTAGCTTTACCAATAATTTTGTAGTTTGGTAGGTAGACTCACACTTCACAGTTATTGGTTGGTAACTCTAGGAGAATATTGTACAATCAGATTGTATTGTGTGCGGCCAACTTGAGTTACACATGGGCAATGGGATTGTACAATGCAACAATCAATCCTACAGTAAATCATGATTCACATGAAGTCAACAGTATGACAGCACTGTACATATCTTTCAATCACAAGTATTTTTCAAAATGATATCAAGAGACTCTTAGTAATTAAAAACTGGCCATCTAGCTAGGTATTGTAAACTCAGTTGTATGTAGCGTATAAGTATCAAAATGTGTTTTTCAATAAAACATGTCAGTCTATGGATGTGGTTTATAGGTGCTGTATTGGGTACTAATGGTAATGACAAATCTGAGTAAAGAGTAGTGACCTGATCAGTCTAAAGCTGGGTCTACACACATATATTTTCTTTGTTTAACCTGCCGGCTAAACAAAGAAAATACAACAGATTCCTCCATCAATGCTTACGAGCATTTAACGAGGAATCCCCTGCTGTTTTTATTTTATGCTGACATTGGCCGTTGTCAGAATACCCGAATGCAGCTGATTCGCTGCAAGCTCCATTAGGCAAAAATATTTCCAACCTGCTCCTGCGATCAGCTAATCAAGGGATGCTGGGTGGAAGGGTGCCGACAATGGCACCCACTGTGGGAATTTAGTAACATGTACACTAGGGATGTTTAAGAGAACAAGTACTGATACTTTTCCTCAAGTACTCACCGATACCTTTTTTTTTTTTTTTTAAACTTGTCCAAGTACTTACAAGTACGAGTACTGATACATTTTTGTTTAGTGTCATGTAACAGTTTTTCTAAAACAATACAGACTAATGATTTTAGGACAGTGTTGGAGCGTCAGGGCTGGTCGCAGCTGCAACCCTGGTAGTTCTGCCACTGACTCCAAGCTGTAGAGGGACTACAAATCTCACCAATATATTATACAGCAATGCAGAATACCACCAGCTATGGAGGGCTACAAATCCCACCAATACATTATACAGCAATGCAGAATAATAAGAAGCTACATATGTTTTTCTGGGGTGGTGGCCTGATGTCTCTATGGTCTCAGGAAGGGTTTGCGTGGTCTCAGAAGGGCTGTGGGGGTTCTCAGAATGGCTGTGCGGGGCCTCACCAGGCGTCCAAAGGGTCTCATGGGTGGGTGTGTGTGGTGGAAGTGCTGTAATGAGCGCCATGTTGTTACTTAGGAGAAAGAGCTGTGAGGCTGGCGCTGTCACAGGAAGGCTGCCCAGGTCCCCAGCAGGCAGCCGCTTCCATTTAAAAATGTAAAGCGCCCATATCAGTGTTTAGTATCGGAGCATTTTCATATGTACGAGTGCTTGAGAAAATGCTCAGTATTGGCACAGATACTGGTATCGGTGCATCCCAACTTTAGTTGTACAGTAAAATGTAGTTGTATGATGCTTTGTCATGGTATCAGTGGAAGTTTAAAGTTGAATCATTCTAGTTACTATATGCAAATAGTAGTATCCGAAATATTAAACTGGCTCTAAACTTGTAGAATTCTGTTCAAAAACCTTTAGTTTTCCAATTGCTTCATTTTCTAATGGTTAGTGGGATCTAATCGGCTTTCATTTTTCGAACGTAGTGATAAGGAAGGACAATAGAAGGAGCAGGATGGAAAATTGTTCTCGTTTCCTATCTGAACAAAAATGCTATGCATATGTGCTAGGCAAAAAAAAACCTGTTTAACTGTCTAGGATTCCATTCAAAAAGCAGGTCTGGATGGCACTTGTATGGGCTTTCGAATTAAATTAGTTTACTCAATGATGGTAAGATGGAACACTCTGACGAACAATTTTGAATGAACGTTCAAACAAAATTCTAACAGTGTATGGCCAGCTTTAGCATGAGTATCTAAAAGAGCAAAGTCTACAGGTGAAACTCGAATAATTAGAATATCGTGCAAAGTTCATTTATTTCACTAATGCAACTTAAAAGGTGAAACTAATATATGAGATAGACTCATTACATGCAAAGCAAGATAATTCAAGCCGTGATTTGTCATAATTGTGATGATTATGGCTTACAGCTCATGAAAACCCCAAGAACCCCAAATCCACAACCTCAAAAAAGTAGATTATTACATGCAATCAATAAAACAAGGATTGTACATAGAACAATATCGGACCTCTGAAAAGTACAA